CATACACCAAGAGGCCATGGCTGTTTTACTGAATAATTTGTTCCCCTTCCTCAGGCCAAATACTGGAGAAAATCAACAGGTAAAATATGTTACTTCACTACAGGAACTTCAAGAGCAAAAAATGATGCCATCTTTTGACCTATATACCTCTGAGGAACAAGAAAGAAAAAACATCCAAATAGAAGTTGTCTGACTCTAAAAAAATTCAAGAGAGTTGAATAACTGGCAATTTTCATATTGTATTTATTAATATAAGCTATTTTTGACACACATCAAATTTAGTCAAGACATGCTAGACCTATACATATTTAAAACATTCTTTTTCATACCATTTCTTTCACCCAAGTAAATGATGCCATTCTTACCGACTGAGGCCAGGTTCCTCAAGGTTTCCATCATGACATCTCTGTAGAGTTTCCTCTGAGGAAGATCCAGCAGAACCCACTCTTCCGGGGTAAAGACCACGGACACATCCTCAATGACCACTGAGTCCTAAAAAATCCCACATGTCTGGATCAGTAAGGTACCATGGACTCCAATGTGTACAAATAAGCAACAGTGAGGCTGACAGTCCTAGGAACTAGAACAAGGTTCTGTGTTCTACTGAGGTCGACTGCAGGGTATAACCATTAGCTTCATCCCTTCACTAACCACATTCACTTCCTCACGGATTGCCTCCTGCCTCCCAGACCTCCAACACACTGAAATAATATCCCAAAGGTTGATTGTGACTAGATGCAGCTTTATTCCTCTCTATTTATGGTGTAGAACAGTTAGAAAACACAGCAGAAATTACAGCAATGTTCTCAGTTAGATCATCATTTTCTTGGGATCAATTACACCTCCTTGCACAGAACCCACTCAACTACCCAACAAAACAAATTACACATGAAGGCAGGATATGGTATTAACAACTGGGAGACATTGCAAGACTGTAGTTTTGCCCTCATAGTCACCAGAGGACCAGGGGCCCAGGCAAATCAATTGGCAACCCAAGCCCCTTGAACTGCTCCTGTGTTTTTTTTTT